CCAAGCACTGAATACGTAGAGATGAAGCAGAGACAGACATTCCCTGCTAAGACCTTGTCATACACATGCTAAAGCACTTAATGTGGATCTCATTTCTGCAGGACAAAATCCAGTTTGCTGCGCCATCCTTCCTCAGAGCCAAGCAGAAATAACCCATACTGAGAGGTTCTGATCCTCCTCACATGCCTATGGGGATTTTTTGGTATCTTTATGGCAGGTTTTGAAAAACCTTCCCAGCAACAAATCCAAGCAACTAGGAAAACAGGACAATGGAGACTGGGAAGGGAAGGAGGAAGGAAGGAGCTGCCTTCCAGCGCCAGCCAGATGTAGGCCCCAAGAGATAAACAGCCAAGTAAAATAATCCTTCAGAAGGGGGTTGAGAAACCTGGGCGGGAGCGGGGAGGAGGGCATAACCACACCTTCCCACCACAAGCTGTAATTAGAAGCCAGCACTGGCAGGAGCTCACCTGGGCATGTTTAAGAAGTCAAGCTCCTCCCACACCCGCCCTCCCTCCTTCCCTTCCTCCCTCTCTGCAAAATGCTGAAGTAGAATGAATTTCTACAGCAAAATACTTGCAGATGCTCCACTTGATCAAGAGGTTGTCGTTGATACGCAGGGCTGGGGACCAGCCTGGCTCACATGGCTCCCTGCTCTGTGGCCTCTTCACCTCCACAGTACCCCAAACTCCTAAGTTTCCGGATGCCTCTGAGCTCCTCAGACAAAGAACAATGAAACCAGAACTCCATAAAACTGCTGCTGGTTGGACTGGCAGGAAACAAACGATCCCTCACCCAGGCTCCCCGGGTCTCACTCAACCCAGCCACTCCTGGGTCGCATTTTCCCTTCAGGTCCAGAAAAATGAATGTGAATGGAGCCTGTGGTGAAGCGAGTGATCGTTATGTTCTGAAAGAGTGAACAGTTCTAAACCCTGAGGAACTCTGAACACCCTTCTCTTAAGCTGTGAAACGATCACAATATGCTATTCTTACTTTCTCCCTATGTAAATCACACTCTGAAGTTAAAGAGAGAGAATTCTTCTACCAAATTACATACTGATGGCTCTTAACCCATAATTAAAGCATCACTAACAGCAGCTTAAGACCATAGCCAAGCACGAGCACATTTATTAGAACCTAAGTTTTCACCACCAAGTAATTATGCAAACAAAACTGTCCGCCATCTTGAAGACAGTCTGTGGTCTAACCTGCTCCCTGCTCCTGGGGGACCCACTCTTTGAGAACTGGCATCTATCCAGGGCCCCCTCCTCCCCAAACCAAGTCCCAGAGCAGCAAGGAGAGCAAATTCCAACAAAGCTTGTCACCTATAGTATCACTAGCTCCTCTTCCCTGGACATCACAATCACCTTGGAATTTGGGCCAAGTGGTGTCAGGGCAATGAGGAAGGAGGCCACACTGGTGCACTGTGTGGTGTACCCCAGGATGTTATCCCAAGGGAGGGACTGTGTGGGTACCCAGACCAGAGCCTAGTCCCTAACACTAAGGAGCTAATAAGTGAACGGAGGCGAGACATATACTAACTTTGAAGAGACAGTATGGTTTAAAAAAAAAAAAAGAAAGAAAGAAAAAGAACCACAGAATAGTCAAAGTCCCTGGGCTCTAACCTCAATTCAATTCTGCAACAAACTTTCTGAATAAACCTGAACAGACAAGAACTCTGAGCCTCTGTTTCCTTGGCGAAAACAAGGTGAAGGTATTAGATGATGTCTGAAGCCCTGGATAGCTCGGCAGTAATTAGATAATTAGAAAATACAAGACAGCCTATAATTAAGTGCTAATTACACAGTGGTGACGACAGCTGCCATTGAAGAGTTTGCACAGGTTTTTCTGTTGTTTTTTGAGTCGGCCTTCAGTCCAAACCACTTCCTGAGAGCCCAGGCAGGCACTGAGCTAGGACCTTGGGATGTAGCCATCAACAGGCCAGAATGCTCAACCTTCCAGTGGGGAACACGCAGGAGTTCAGGGGGGAAAATAAATGACAGCTGGGGTTGGCCAATGCCTTTCAATGGAAAGAAGAACAAAACTGAGCTTCCTATAGGTAGGTATAAGTGGAACCTCCAATGGAGAGCAGAAGGATCAAGCGGCTAACTGTTGAGTCTGGTAGTCTCTGAACACAGGTATTCCACACAAGCCCGGTCTGCTAATTTGCTCATCGTTAGTGAAGGTGATTAGCTCCCAGAAATCAGCCAGGTTTAGATTCTTGTCACCCTTTCCCATCTTCTCCTAACCCAATGGTCCCCACCCCAAACCTTTTTTCCCCTTTATTCTCTTTCCAATTCTGCTTGCATGAGACAGGCATGGTGGCACACATGTAATCCCAGCACTGGGGAGGCAGAGGCAGGAGGATCTCGAGTTCAAGGCCGACCTGTGCTACACAGAAACCTGGCCTTGCCAAAAAAAAAAAAAAAAAAAAATTCTACCTATAGAATACCATTATGAAGAGGCAGTTCCAAACAGGGAGCCCTCATCTCAGCTGTTCAGGGTGTGTTTGTGTGGCTCAGTGGGAGCACTTGTGCTTAGCGTGTAAGATATCCCGAGTCCCTCAGCATCACAAAAAAAGTACAGTGGGTTCTAAAACAAGTTCCCGGGAGTCTTTGCACACTACAGGGCAGCTGGCTGAAAGACCCATTTGTGTGTAAGTTGCTGGAGAGGGTGAGGAACGACAGTGAGGATACAAGGTTGCTCTCGGGAAGCAGAGCTGTGTCCGCTTCAACTAAGGAACATGGTATAACTCACCTGGCAAATAAAAATAGCCATCGACATCTTATATCCCCAGCTCAAAAGTGACAAAATTAATCTGCCCCTCATTTGTGAAAAGATGGAGCATGCTGTGTCCTCAATGAAATCACATGCTCCCTGCTAACCATGCATTCTGTTTTCCCAATAGCTCCCCGGGAAAGCTGGGGAGCTGATATGTTCAAAACGAATGTTCTTAACATGGTGGACTTAGAGGAACGACCGTTCCAGCTTTTCTTAGCAAAAACTCCCATGTATGATTTATGCCCATCTCCAAATAGCCTTTGCAGCTCAGGCAGATGTGTGGAGTGTTTACAATGAGAAAACCACTGGGACATAAAGAACTCCCGGAGAACACCACCCAAGCTGTGCCGTCCTCTTCATTTCCTGTGTATTTATTTTGGTGTTAAAATAATGTTAGCCTTTATAATAAGGAAAACAGAAGCAGATGTTTAAAGCCAAACAGACGATAGCCTGTCATCCCACGTACCTAACTCAACTTTCAAAATCAAAGTTTCTTCCTTCCAAATAACGAGGGAGAGAGGAAAACGACTGGCATACGTCACGTACTACGCTTGCCACAGGCTGCTCTTCCCCACTGCCAGCTGGAGGCAGAAAAAATTATTCTGGTGTCAATTTCCTAATAGTCCTTATGCCCCTCTCCTGGGCTGCTCACTAGGTTCTGTCTTGTTTTTTACAGTATCGTGTTACTTGTTCACAAAGACAACACAACAGAAACTGCCTTAAAAGCTTTTGTTCACTGGGGGAAAGTTAAAACACAAACCTCTCACAACAATACACTAGTTCCACAGGCAACACGTGCAGGAAGTGTTCCCAGTGTTCACTGGCTGCTGGTGCTGAAAGGGGCCTGCTGCAAACTGTGAGTCCAGAAACCAAGAGGACACTTTCCTTCATTTCATCTCAGCCAAAGGCCGAGAGCAATGGAGGGATGCTTTACTTCCTTCAGCAGATTCACAGGCAGCAATTCGCCAAAGTTCTCATACCTGGAACTAATAAATGAATAAAGTAACATCCTTTCCTAAAAGTTCTAAGTATGAGATCCTTATGCATAGAGTTTTTTTAAATGAGCTCCCCAACTGTGAAGGGGAAGAAGAGTAAGTTTCCAGCTGATTAGGAGACAGACCTGGAATTTTTACATGAAAATCCCAAGCAAATCAGCTTGCCCAAGTTTTATAAGCATTTCCTTTTTTTCCAGAGGAAAACGTTCAGTTTACTACAGGAGAGAACATGGAAGCTGCGCCTGCTGATGGAGAAAGGAGCCATCTCCCTCGACTCCTGTGTGCTTGGAACAAAAAAGACTCTGCCTGCCAAGCTGAGCTCCCTCAGAGATGCCTCCCTGGCCACTCAAAGCCAGGCCATTACCACTTTTGCAAATCGCACGTAGTAGATAATGTCCCAAAAGATGAAGAAAGAGCGTTTTTCTCTTCTTCCTGCTGGCAGAGACAGCTTGGCAGAGAACAAGAGGGGGGGACCACCTGCGGGCTGGGGGAGGTAAGACAAGAGAGCTGGGAGCAGGTTTGGGGGTTCTCTACTTTTGTCGGGCTGCGTGTTGTGCAATCGCTCCCACAAGGGGCAAGTGTGAGGGACACGCCTCGCTGTCAGGACTCAGCGCTGTACAGGAAGTGGGGAGTCAGACAAAGAGCCGGCCTGTGCTCCGTGACACGGGTCCCCTTCCTGGCCCCCGAACCGAGCAGAAAAACACTTCAACTGTGGGACGATCGCTGCCGGAAACACAAACTTCCTACAACTCTGTGTTGCCCAGCTACATGAAATCCAAAGCGCTGTTGAAAACACACACGAATACTGTGCGTGGTGGTATGTGTAAAAATAAGTGCCAGCGCCCCTCCCCCCCACCTTACCCCTCTCCCCAAAAAGACGACATGTTTAACTTTTAGTTGGATCCCAGAAGTTCCTCCCCTAAAGACAATGCCAACAGAAGTCAAAAAGAAAGCGAAGTTACAGTTTCAAGACGTGAGGAGTTAGTGTGTGGCAAAAGCATCAAGCAAACTTTTAAAGGTGTATTTGGCTGCCTGGCTCCAGCCCTCTCCACCACAGCCCAGAGCTAAGGCAGGAACCAACTCCGTACTAAACCAGCCCAGAGTCAGCCGGGCCTCCCAAAGCACCACGGTCCCCAGAAAGAGCAAAACGCTCAGAAGGCAACCCCAACCCAAAAGGGAGGAGTGGCCTGGCGAGAGCAGGAGAGCAGTAATTTCTAGAACAGCTACCTTCATAGCACAGAATGCTGACGCTGTTGTCCACCTTGTCCAGGTATGGGTAGTTCAACAGGTCCATCTTCATAAACAGCATTTATTGGGCTACAAAGAAAACCAGCTCTTTGCTTTCACCCCAAAAGAGAAAGTTGCAAAATTCAGTCGTCGCTGAGCAGCTCCAGGCTCTCCTCTCAGAACTTCACAAAAACCGAGGAGGATGAGCAAAACAAAGTATGTAGAAGTTTAAAAAAAAAATGCACACACACACACACGAAGTCAGACTCACAGGAAACCCTTCGAGGGTTCCTTGGTGGATGGGATGTGCACTGTATCCTCGGTTGAGCATTAAAAACTGCTTCAGAGTCTCTGGCGTGTCTTGGAGGCTGAAAACAAGCAGTGAAAAAGCAACCCGCGCAGCAGGTTCCTAGGACAAAGCCACTCTCTCCGGGCTCCCCCGCTGCAAGTTGACTGCTGACATGCTGGCTACGCTCGGTATGACTCGAATGTAAACCAGCTTCCTCTCCCTGCGGGGGGCGGGGGCGCCGAGCATGCGCCCCTGCACAGGACCAGGCTCAGGAGCCCGCGTGTGCAGGAAGGGGGGTGCAGGGTGGCTCTTGACAGGAAGCAGACGGAGGAGGGGAAAGAAAACCCAGCAAGTTGCTCTTTCAGGGGCTGAGCGCAAAGTTACGAATCCATCATGGAATTTAACTTTTGTGGGACTTCATTCCAGGGCTTGGGAAACTCCCAGTGTTTCCGATGTGGTGTGGATCTCCATGTAAAGTTTCTTTGTTTCTTTCTAAGACTATTTTGTGCCCACTATGTTAACTGTGTGTTTAAATTTTTAATGTTAACGTGACGTATAACGTCTTCGTTTGAGCCCAGCAGCTCAAATGCACGGGGCAGCGGTGACGTCACCTTTCTACAGAGGAGGAAACTGAGCCTCAGAAGAAGGAAATGACTGGCCACAGGCCTCCCATAGCTGCTAGAACTACCCTTAGAGTGCTCCCCCCCCATAAAATCTTCATAAAAAACCAGCGCACAAGGACACGGAGGGAGGGAGGGGGGAGGAGATGTGTAGGCAAACTCGAAAGCCTACTTGAAAATATGAGGTGACAAAATCACTTCCGTGTGCACAGAGGGCAGTGCCCACCGCGTATGAAACTCCCATCTCCAATGCCCAGCACAACAACAGGTGCCCGAGAACTACTTACTGAATGTGAGTCACTGCACACTCCAGAGTTTTCAGTGCATAAAGAGCTCATTAGCAAAACAAAGGAAAAAACATAGTCCTTCTCTTTGCGGATTGCAGTCAGCTTTTTGGCACCACAAATAGAATAATATGTCACCCTGGGGAGTTTTCTATTTTGACACGATAGTATGCTATTTAGAGATTTGGAAAATATCAAGGGGTATGCTAGCTTGCAGACCAAAACCTGAAATTTTAAGTCTTTGAAAAATAGTTTCAAGGCATTATATGATTTAAAAACAAAACAAACAAAAACCACAGCAATTGTTGCACGTAGGGCAACAGCCACAGGTGCAGAAAAATGTTCTCATCACATCTTTTTTGGAGATTCCTGGGACACCCAAATTCTGTTTCGGTCACTGCTATCACAGAAAGAGGGGAGCTGGCAGGTGAAGTACGCAAGGGAAGGATCGAGATGTCACAAGCCTTTCATCTACAAGGACATTTATTAACACTGTGTCACATATTTTAGTTACTGAATAAGCCATCAATTGTTCATGAAGTTATTTTGTGGCATTTGGTGGAGAGGGCTGGAAGAAAACCCTTACAGCATTGCTACACACAAGATTACTGCACTTAAACTTAATACCCAAAATTATTGTCTTCAGATATCAGATTCAAGCTCAACTGCTAGTTTCAGAGCACCTCTGCTACGTTGCGTTTGCTTATGCACGTTCTCATCAATCGAAACACTTCACGCACCGGTGACACACCCCACGTGGGAGGAAGCTAACTGCACGTTAGACTCATCAGGATTTTCAAAAATCCTAATGGTTGTTTCCCAAACTAATCTTAGGCAGGTGAGATCCTGCAGACAGGTAGTGCTAATATGTAGCCATCGCCTTGGTTTGGGAAGGAAAAACCTGTCCTTAGAGGGCTCATTGCATACAGTTGCTTTGAGAAGGCGAGTTTTAAAAAAAAAATAGTAATAGTGACTTAAGCACATGTTTCAAACAATACAGTTGTAAGGATATGAGCACAGCATTCCCAGCTTCCCTGTACTGACTCAACATCACTTAATACAATGATTTTCAGCCTCCCAGTGACAGTGTCCTGCAGGTAAACCTTGACTTCAGAAAGATGAATCCTAATATTCCCTGCCTCCACCCACATCTTTCCCACTAGTGTGGAGGGCTAGCAATGGTGCCACTCCAGTGTGGTCCACAGAGGGGCTCTAGAACTGGACGGCAAGCTGGGCACCAGCGACCCACGCCTGTAATGCCAGCTACTTGGGAGGCAGAGGTAGAAGGAACTTGGTTCAAAGCAGACAGGGCAAAAGCATGAGACCTAGAGGAATAGAGAAGTGACTCAGGTGGACGGCAGGGTGCATGCCCATCAAGTGCAAGGTCATGAGTTCGATCCCCAGTACCACCAAAAGAAAAAAGAAAACAGGAACTGGTTGGTCCCAGTACCCAAAAGGTTCCTACAGAAACAGAGTGAACATTTAGAAATGTCTAACGATTTGACAGGCTAATTTTATGTCTCTTAAATCTTCATCGTGAAAACACTGAAGTTGCTCTTTTCTCCTATTTCTAGTTATTGCGTTTCACTGCATTTTACACATGGAGCATCCTTAACCCAAAAACCTGAAATCCAAAATGCTCCCAAATCCAAAATTTCTTGAACAGCCATGAGATGCCCACCAATGGGAAATTCCACACCATGAAACTTTGTTACAAGCACAAATTTATCTAAAAACTGTATAAAATTATCTTTCAGGCTATGTGTATAGGTACATATATGATGCACAGGTGAATGTCATGTTTAGACCTCAGTCCCACCTCCAAGGTATTTCATTCTGTAGATACAAATATTCCAAAATCTGAATATTCCAAGCATTTGGGTAAGTGATAATCAACTTGTATCAGTCTGCCAACAAACTCTATAAACAAAACACAAAACAAAAAAGAAACAAGCAGGCCCAGTGCTGGCAGCTCACACCTGTAATCCTAGCTTTTCAGGAGGCCGAGATCAGGAAAATCATGGTTTGAAGTCAGCCCAGGCAAACAGTTCAGGACACCATATCTCAAAAACACCCAACACAAAAAAGGACTGGTGAAGTATCTCAAGTGGTAGAACGCCCATCTAGTGAGTGTGAGGCACAGAGTTCAAACCCCAGTACCATACCCCATGCCCGCCCGGGAGAGGGAGAGGGAGGGGAGAGGGAGGGGGGAGGGAGGAGGGAGGGAGGAATTAAAACTCGGCTTTCTGCAAAGCAGCCTGTGGTAAGATGGCTGGGCACCACAGCCATCCCTGCAGAACTCCAGGTAGCCCGGCCTGGCCCAGCCTCCTCCACACCAGCTCCAGCACATGGAAATCACCCCATGTCACTTCTAGGGTCATGCACTCTTCCTGACTCCTCGTAGGAGGCCTCCCTGGGGCCAACCTCCCATCTTCCCTGCTCCCAGCTCTTAGTTACCATTTCACCATGGCCTGCTTTGTCCCTCACCACACCTGGGTTTTCAGAGTAAGGACCATGCCTTCTGCTTCCCAGCGCCAGGCCACCAGTAAATATAACAGAGGCTTCTCCCTGCCCTGGGCCAGCACAGTGGGGTAGCCACCTCAGGGACCACAGTCCCCACTTATCAGCTAGGTTCAGACTTCACTTCAGGGCCCAACCAACTCATCCATTAAATCCCACAAAATGTCCATTCTCCTCGATTTTAATGCATAACTGAAGTACCAACATAAGGGATTTTAAGTGAGGCTGGAAAGATAGATCTAAGTTTTATTCAGATGAAAAAATTAGGTAGGAAGAGCTACATTTTTATTTAAAAATTTTATTAAAAAATTGTTTTGTTCGTGTTTGGGGTCGGAACTCAGTGGCAAAATCTACTATACGGAATGCCCTGGGTTCCACTCCCGTTAAAACATAAAGCAATGAACATTTGGGGGTACACAGAGGTAGCACTAGACAGACAAGTCAAATCAGCAGTCCTATGCAAGAAGTGGGTTACAAAGCAAGCATTACTGACAGAAGAGGCTGTGTGGGAAAGACCCCAACCAGGGCCTCTCCTCCTTTGCTGCCGGCCAAAATCAATTCCAAGTGCTCTAAAGTTTTCACTGTGAAAACGAAACTCTAAGGGAAACATTTCCTAAGACAGAAATAAAAATTTTAGTTACAGAAAAAAAGTCGTAGAGGAAACTATTGAGTAATCTGACTGAATGTATGAATTTTGTGCTTTTGTACATCGAATAGCACCAAAATCAAGGAGAGAAGCAAAATACAAAAGAGCATATTTTGGGAGGCTGGTGGAGTGGCTCAAGTGGTAGAGCGTCTGCATAGCAAGCGTGAGGCTGTGAGTTCAAACCCCAGTGCCACGAAAAGGTAAATGAATTTTACAAGAAGAATATATTTGCACCATGTTATGGTCAATGACTGGTGTTAGATATCAAGGGCGTTACTCAGGCTAGGCGTGTGGCACAGTGGTACAGCCCTGGACTCCATCCCCAGCACTGCAAAAGAGTCACAATTTTTAAAATAAGAAACAAATACCTCTAAGTAAGAAAAAAGAAAAACCACTAAATGAGCAAAGAACAAGAGAAACAAACGGCCAAGACCTTTTTAGAAGACGATTCAACCTCATTAATAATTAAAGAAATACAACTGTAAAGGAGCGAGGCGGGCTTTCCCCAGCTTGGTTAGTTTAGCACTGCGAGGCAAGAGGTCCCTGCAGCTGCTCCCTGCTAGGGAGCGCACAGGTCGCGTCCTCTAGAAAGCAGACCCCGCCACCCATCAGCCTCCAACTCCTGCACACTGCCCTGCCGGAGACCAGAGGCGGGATTCAGTCAAGGAGCTGCCAAACGTCGTTGCACTGCTTATCCCTACTCTTCTTTCTACCTTTGACAGTGTGGCCACCTTGCCAAAGCTCGCCTTGAATTTCTGGGATCAACTTATCCTTCTACCTCAGCTCCCTGAGCAGCACGCACCACCGGGTCTGCCTCATCTTTTTCTTTCTTTCGTTGTTGCCATGCTGGGGACTGAACTCAGGCTAGGCAAGGACTCTACTTACCGAGCTGTAGCCAAGGTTCATACTGCTCTTGATAATAAGGGAAAGCCTGAAACTTACAAGTCCAAAGATAACAGGGGGTATTAAAGTAATCAGTGATGCCATCGACAATTACACACCTCCACAAACATACCGTGATCAAAGAAAATAGCACACCGTGTGTACTACAGGGTAACAGTACATTTGTGAACTAAAAACAAGAAATGGGATATAGACAGACACACTTTACCCTGGCTTTGCTTATAGGAGTGTGTATGCATGTGTACAATAAAAAGACTAGGAAGTACAAGAAAATATTAACA